TCCCTTCACCCCCTCCACCCTTCCCTATTTACAAAGACTTTATTTCCATTTTTTCCATTTCTCATCATTTTTCCTTTCCTTTCTTTCCTTTCCCCTGCCCCTCCCACTACCCCTACCCCTTTGGACTTTTTCTTCCTACTTGTGATTATTAATAACCACACACTTTAAGGATCAAGCTCATGGCTTAAAGCATTCCCCATAAAGGATCTTATAAACACAGCCCCTTGGAGCAGTCTTTTCCTTCAATAAGAAAAATGTATAGGATTTTCATAAATATTTCTACATCTTTCTGATCAATCTATAATTTAATCACCTGTTAATAACATTTAAGAGACAAATAACTGAAGGTTTGGATCAACTATCTGAGTCAGTTATAGCATAGAGCATATTTCAGAACCTGAGACTGAAAAGGTGGAGGGGAGGGAGGGCCAGGGATTTAGCTCAGTGGCACCACACCTGCCTGCCAAGCGCAAGGTCCTGAGTTCAATCCCTAGTACCAAAAAAAAAAAAAAAAAAGGTGGAGGGGGGGCAGAAGGGAAAGTGAAGCAAACATTTATTAAATATCAGCAAATTATATCCTAGACCAGTGATGGTGAACCTTTTAGAGACCAAGTGCCCAAACTGCAACCCAAAACCCACTTATTTATTACAAAGTCCCAACACTGCAATTAAACCTGAATACTGAGGTTTCAGCTTAGAAAAACCAACTGTTATCCTATTCTCGACTGCTGGGGTGATGCTGGGGTGACTTGGGTCCTGTGCCGACAGAGGGCTCTAGTCCCTGTTGCGGCACACGTACCATAGATTTGCCGCCAATGCCCTATATCGTAGTACTACTGCTATCTCCATTCCCCAAGGAAGAAAACTGAATCTGAGAAATATTAAGTAATTTGACCATAGTGAACTTACTGAAAGTTTTTCTTAAGAAAAAAAGACAGATGGCTAAATATAATTATAAAAGAATTAGTTTATATTATATACAAGATAACAGCTTTGAAATTTTAGTTATAAACTATTTCTACCACAGTATTAGTCTAAGAACTTTAAGTTCAAAAGGTAAATGGTTTAAAACCTACATAAGGCATCTATAATTTCATTTTTAGATTACACTTTTGGAGGAAAAAGGGAAGCCCTGATAAAATAGACTCCAAGAAAATATTAATGAATACTATTACTAAAAGTTACACTCAATTCAGAAAATTTTTAAAAGAAACACAAACAGGGGCTGGGGATTTAGCTCAGTGGTTCCGCCACCTGCCTTGAAAGCACAAGGTCCCAAATTCAATCCCTGGTACCCGCCCCACTAAAAAACAAACAAACAAAAAAAGAAACACAAACATCTCGATACAATTATTTAACTTAATACCATAATGGCTAAAAGTGTAACACTAGAATCAAGTTATTTGAATACATACAAACAAACACATATGGTCAACTAATCACATAACCTTAACTAACTTAACTGTTTCCTCATCTATACCTTATGGGTGATAATTAAGAATTGAAGAATAAAAATAAACACCACTGGGCATGGTGGCACATGGCTGTAATCCTAGCACCCTGGGAGGCCGAGGCAGGAGGATTACAAGTTTGAATCAAGCCCAGACAATTTAGCAAGACCTGTCTCAAAATAAAAAATTAAAAAGGGCTGCAGATGTAGTTCAGTGAGAAGGTCTTGGGTTCAATCCACAGTACCGCAAAACCAAAGAATGAACAAACAACAAACTTGGACTGAATGTGAAGTTCAGTGTTAGGTAGATCATGTGCCAGGCTCTGGATTTGATCTCAAACACCAAATAAACCAAACAAAAACAAAACTCAACTATCACTATCATCACAGCCATTACTGTTAATTCCTGCTTAAACTAAACTTAATTACCGCTCCTACAAATCATACACGTAGCCTACTTCCTTAAAATCCTTGAATATACCTCCAGTGAAAATTAGTGAGCACAGGTATAACAAAAAAAAAGAAATTATGTGTATATCGCTGTTGTGGTTTGTTTTTGTTTTTGCTTTTTTGGTACTGGGGGTCAAACTCAGGACCTTGCACTTGCCAGGCAGGTGTGGCGCCACTGAGCTAAATCCCTGGCCCTTGCTTTTGTTTTTAACAATACTGGAGATTGAACTCAGGGCTTTGTTCATGCTAGGCAAATGCTCTACCACTGAGATCTACATCCCCAGCTCTTTTTACTTTTAGACAGGGTCTCGCTGAATTGCTTAGGCTGATCTCAAACGTTTGTTCTGCCTGCTTCAGCAGCCCAAGTTAGCTAGGATCACAGGTGTGCACCACTGTGCCCAGCAAAAAAGCCTCTTAAAAAACTAAAATGTCAAAAAAACCCCACTAAAATGTCATCCCTAAAAAAATTAAAAATAAGTATTATTTCTCTCTTATCTAATACATATTGTATTTAACTACTTAGCATACACTCCGACAATTAATCTTTTTCTTATTTAATCTTTCTGGGGCCAGAGATGTAGCTCAGTGGTGCCACATCTGCCTGGCAAGTGCAAGGTCCTGAGTTCAATTCCTGGTACCAAAAAAAAAATTATAAATTAATCTTCCTAACAGCTATATAATGTGACTTGTTCAAATTCCAGCCCAGCCTGAGCGATTTAGCAACATCCTATCTCAAAATTTAAAAGGCTAAGGATATAGTTCAGCATAAGGGTGCTAGGTTCAAACCTCAGTACCAAAAAAACTAAAAAATTAAAAAAAGAATATGAGACAGGGACCACCACAGGGACTGAAGACAAAAAATCTAAGGCCTTAGCCCCTGACCTGTCACCCATTGAAAGAATGGTGTGTGGAAAGCTGAAAACACCCAGCCTTAACCCCTGTGCTAGCTCAACCCTCTTCAAGACTGGGGATACCAAGATAAGACTGACTAAGGTATTTCTCAAGACTTTCAGGGATGTTGCATTGCCAGCTTTTACAATATCCCACTACCGGCCCCCTGGAGCAACGCCTCCAAGTCTCTAGTCCCTGTCCTGACCTGTAATCCTCTGAATCCCAGGAAGAGCAACACCTCTGAAGGCAGATCAGCCCATGATGAGAGCACCCCTCACCAGGCGAGATGATACCCACTGAGGCTGCCCCTCAGCAGAAGCCCTCATCTCTCGGTACCAGGTTGACACTCCCTCTGGTGAAGTGAACTGAGATAATGATCAACCAGTCCCTCGCCCACACCAACAACCCCATAAGAACTTCCCTTGTCCTCCTGTTAATAGGCCAGCCTCACTTTTCTCTCTCAATCAGTGCTCTTCCCCCTTTAACTTCCTTTCTCTTCAAGCTGAAGTTCCTTTCCTCCAAACTAAAAGCTTGGCCTGCATATGCTTGAACCCCTCAGCCTGGTCTCATTTCTATGGCACTGGGTCAAAAGATCCGCTGTCTAATATCAAATACATCCATTTAGAAGTATCAAAATAAATGTTTTTAAAATATAGGGGATGCTGGGGCTGGGGATTTAGCTCAGTGGTTCCAACACTTGCCTTGTAAGCGCAAGATTCTGAGTTCGATTCCTGGCGCGCACACACACACAATATATATATATATCATATATATATATATATATATATGAATGAATGAATGAGATGCTGGGCGTGGTGGGTGCATGCCTATAATCCCAGCACTCAGGAGACTGAGGCAGGAGGAGCACCACGAGTTCAAGGACAGTTTGGGTTACATAGTGAGTTCAATGCCAGCCTGAACTACATAGCAAGACCCTGTCTCAAAATCAAAGGGGGTGGGGTAGGGTCTGATTTTAGCTCAGTGGTAGAGTATTTGCCTAGCATATGCAAAACCCTGAATCCCCAGCACTGCAAAAAAAAGGAAGTCGCATGGTGCAGCAGGCCTGTAATCCCAGCACTCAGGGAGGCTGAGGCAGGAAGATTATTGCAAGTCCGAGGTTAGTCTGAACTACATAGGGAGACCCTGCCTCAAAAATCAAAACAAAACAAAATAACCGGCTGGGGATTTAGCTCAGTGGCGCCGCATCTGTCTCAAAAGCCCAAGGTCCTGAGTTCAATCCCTGGTACCAGAAAAAAAAAACAACCAGCAAGAACAAATCCTAACATATGCTTTTTTTATAAAAGGAAAGAAATACACACACACACACACACACACACACACACACACACACACACACATATCCAGATGGCTGCAAACAATAAAAATAAATTCTTATCTAGTGGCCTACAGAGAGGAGATATGAACTTACCCTGACAATGAAGAGTTCAGCTCCAAGCTGTGCAGTTTGTTCTGTAGAAAGCTGGAAGCAAGCACAAGACCAAGTGAATATCCACGAACTAGTCAGTGAGCTCACTCTCACTCACTGTAACAGATTCCAAGGGCACAGTATCTGATCAACACAAAATTCTCTACTATCTAATCGGCTTGACTAAGGCTGGCTGATACGCTTACTAATCTTTCTGGCACACAGACTGCAGGGAAAAATAGTAATTATTTTGAGGGGGTTTTTTTTGGGGGGGGGGGTTGAGACTCATAGCAATTCTGCCTCAGCCTCCCCAGTGCTGGGATTACAGGCGTGCACCACTATGGCCGGCCCCAGAAAACAGTAACTGTAACGGGAAACAACTGCCTATACGAAATTATTCAGCAAGAGTTCCAGTACCTTTGGCCTGGGGATTTAGTTCAGTGGTTCCGCCACCTGCCTTGCAAGTGCAAGGTACTGAGTTCGATCCCCAGTACCAAAAAAAAAAAAAAAAGTTCCAGTACCTTGGCAGCCAGGATAGAAATGATAGCAACCGCCATCCTTTGCATGTTTTGATCCTCATGGTTGCAGAGCCACTGCATGACAAGTTTGGCTGCTTCAAACCTAAAAATGCGCAGAGGGTTTCATGAGTTAATCTTGGAGGGTGAAGCACAGTTTCAAAGTTCCAGCTAGGAACTGATGCTCTAAATTAAGTAGGCAAAAAGAAAAGTGAAAATTCCTCTTAATTGATAGCAAATAACAGTCACAGTGGTTTGGAGATGATGGCTTAATTCTGACATTTTGTAAAGAAATAATAGTTTGGAAAATATGATCAAACCCGGCATTTCATCCTCTATAATTATAACCTATTTTATATTTCCTTCCTCTCTCCCCCTCCCCTTCCCTCCCTCCCTCCCCCTCCCTTCCTTCCTCCTTCCCTCTATCTCTAACTCTCATTGGTACTAGAGATTGAACCTAAGGCCTCTGGTATGCTAAGCTAGTCCTAGTGGAGAGCAGTAAACAATAAAATATTTCTACTTCTCATACAGATTTTATTATTCTAGGGAAGAAGAAAGGTAATAAGGGAAAGGGAGGATATGAAGTGTTGAAATTTTATTTAGGATAGCTAAGGAAGACATTGAACCTTTCTTTTGGTGGAGGGGCAGTACTGGGTCATAATGACTTTGGTTTTTTTTTTATTTTGTTTTGTTCAGAGACAGTGTCTCGCTATGTAGTTCAGGATGGCCTCAACCTCGCTATGTAGTCCAGGCTGGCCTCTAACTGGCAGTGATACTCCTGCCTCGGTCCCCCCTCAACCCCCAAACTGCTAGGATTACAGGAATATACCAGCATGCCTGGCCTTGAGTCTTAGTGTCTTGTACATGCCAGGCAAATGTTCTGAGCTACATCCTCAGACCTTTCTTAAATTTTATTTTAATACAGTCTCACTAAATTGCGCAGGATGGCCAGGAACTTGCAGTCCTCCTGCTCTGCCTCCCTAGTAGCTGGAATTACAGGCGTGTAGCACCACCTTGAGGGGCTCTGGCTAATGTTTTTAATGGATCACTCTATCAATTGTGCTCAGAATAAACTTCAGGAGGGCAAGGACAGAAGTAGGTGAGTGGGTCAAAGGCTAATAATTCACGAGAGAAATCGCTTTTAGTCTAGTCCCAATGGTATAAAGGGAAGTGGAATGTTGGAATTTTGGATATATTTTGAAGATAGAGCTGGGCCTGCCAAAGCACTGGATGTAGGAGAGAAATCAAAACGGCATTATCTTGTCCATAGGCTCATGCTTTAAGATTCAGCTCAAACAGTACTTTCTTCAAGAACCTTTCCTTCACAAGTTTATCGTTGCCTTCTCCTAGTGCCTTGTTTTTAACTGTGATCATATGGAGACTCTCCTGAATCTCCACTGGCTATGAAGTCCTTGAGGGAAGGGACCATATCCTTTACGCTAAGTATTCAATGGCACATAAACAGTGCTTAATACATGTTGGCTGAATGGTTATACTGAAGTAGATTATTGTTCTGCAAATTCACTGTCACCTCCTTTGTATTCCTAATGCCATTTCTTTTTGTTGTTGCTATTCCTAAGGCTTTTGCGTGTGTGTGTGTGTGTGTGTGTGTGTGTATAGCTGGGACTTGACCCCAGGGCCTTTGCATTGATCTACATTCACAACTAGCTCTAAAAAAAATTATTTTTGAGACAAAGTCCTGTTAAATTGCCACGTTTAGGCTCAAATTTATGATCCTCCTACCTCACCACACCAGAGTGCTGGGATTATAGGCATGTGCCAGTACACCCAGTTCCCAAGGCTATTTCTGATTGGGCCCATTATTGGTTTTTGGGGAGTGGTGGTACTGGAGATCAAATACAAGGCCCTGTGCAAGCTAGAGAAGCACTCTTATTTCTGAGCTACATTCCTAGCCTGGCATTTTTCTATAGTAGATTCCCAATCAGCTTCCCTGTCTCTATTGCTTCCCCTTTGATTTGTGCCTGTACATCAGTAATAAATAACCCGTCAGAGGGCTTAGGTATAATGTCAGTCCTATACTCACAACATTCTAGGACTCTAGCATGCACTGCTACTTTCAAATCTTCTCTTTTCTTCCCTACCTTATGCTTACTATGAAGTGAATTGCTTATTAGTCACACATACACACACACCTGCAGTTATTCAGTACAATAGCCTGGTGATTAAGGTTCAGATTTTGAAGACAAGTTTTGAATGGCCTCATACAGCAATCCTCCTGCCTCAGCTTCCTGAGTGCTGGGATTACAGGCACGTGCCATCATCCCCAGGTCTACTTTTTTAAACCAGTCCTCTACTTACTCTTAATAATAATAACAACAAATTATTTTATCATGTGCATCTATGCAGTCAAGTCATGAATAACACCATATACTTTGGAGTCAGCTTGGATTCAAATATCAGCTCTACCGCTTAGGAACTCTGGGATCTTGGGAAGTTACTTCGTCTCTCTGGACCTCAGTATTTTTATCTCTAAAACAGTAACAAAAGCCTCTTCCATGGGGTTACTGTGAGGGTTAAATGGTAATACCTGGGCTAGGGTATAGCTCAGTGGCTACATCTGGGGTAGGGTGTAGCTCAGTGGCAAAACTCTTGTCTGGTATACACAAAGCTCTAGGTTCAACCCCAGGACCGCAAGGAAAAAAAAAGACTCAGTATAGAAATTGGCACATAATAAATTCCTGATAAAGGTTTAGTACTGGGCACTAAACCCAGGGAGCACTTAGCTATATCTCCAGCCTGCCTGCCTGCCTGCCTGCCTGCCTTCCTTCCTTGTTTGTTTAAATTTTGAGGTAGGGTCTTGCTAAATTTACCCAGGCTGGTCTCAAATTTAAAATCCTCCTGCCTCAGTCTTCCAAGTAGCTAAAATTGTATGTGTGCAATACCATACTAAGCCAAATGAAGTTAATTTTTACTAATATTACTATTACTGAGTTCCTCTATGATGCTATTCATGCAATTCCAGAATATACCACTCAACTAGCTCTCCTTTTCAAAGCAATATAGTATGAATATAAAAATCAAAGGCTCTGAAGTTGGGCATGGGGCTCACACCTATAATCCCAAGTACTCAGGAGACTGAGGCAGGAGGATCCCAGGTTCAAGGTCAGCCTGGACAATTTAGCAAGATCCCACCTTTTAAAAAAAAGAAGAAGAAGAAGAAAGAAAAAGGCTCTGAAATCAGTCTGGATTTAAATCTAGACTCTGCAACTTATTATCTTATTACCTTGAGCAAGTTACTGAGCCTTTCGGTGCCTGTGCCTGTTTCCTCACCTGTAAGATGAAGATTGTAAGAATAACAATTTCACTGAATTGTGGTAATGATTGAATAAGCACATGTAACACTTTAGCATTGGGCCTGGCAGTAATAGTAAGTGCTTCATACATGTTCGTTGTTACTGTCTCAAGTGCCATCATCAATATGAAGTCTAATGATCATTCAGATGGATCTGTTTTCCTTGCTCAGAGGCCCAATACATTCTGTCAATTATCTATTCTATGAAAAATTCTGTCTCATGTTATATTCATTCAGTCATTTATCCATCCATTCACTACATATCCACCTAAACACTAGAGACCATGAGATGAAGCAGTCAGCTTCTGACCACAAAGATGCTCAATTCTAGCATAATGCATGTTCTGATTTGTATCTAGATATTTCCCCCAAAGCCTCATCTAGTCATAGGTGGGGCTCTTCAGAGGTGACTGGATCTAGAGTTTATGATGCTGTGATCAAGGATGTGATGCTGGGATTGATTTATGATGTGATTTTAGGATTAAGAATGCCCCACCCTGGGTGTGAGTGCTACCTGTTCTAAGGGTGGGTAGTCTCCATAGATTATAAGGGGGCCAGGGATTTAGCTCAGTTGCATCGCGCCTGCCATGCAAGTTCAAGGTACTGAGTTTGATCCCTGGTACCAAAATAAAATAAAATAAAATAGATAGGTTATAAGGGGAAGAAAGAGTGTTGTCACTTGTTGCTGGCTGCTGTTTCTATTGCACCACTTGCTGCCTTCCTACCTTCCTGCCTTCTGCTTGAAGTGAACTATTTCTCCTATGCCATGCCACCCTGCCTTGGAGCCACCTGACCGACTAAAACCTCCATAAACTGAGCCAAAATAGACCTTTTCTCCTTTAACTTTGGGTGTTGGATATTTTGTCTTAGCAATGAGAAAAGTAACTAAGACAGTGCACTGCACAGATCAGAGGCAGACAAACTATAGTCGGTGGACAAGTTGCCTATTTTATAAAGTTTCAATGAACATTCACACTCACTTGTTTATATATTGTTTATGGCTGCTTTTGAGGTACAGTGATTTACATAGTTGCAACACAGACCTCATGGGACACAAATCTAAAAGATTTATAATCTGGCCCTTTAAGAAAATGTCTGGGCCAGGGATTTAGCTCAGTGGTTCTGCCGCCTGCCTTGCAACCGCAAGGACCTTAGTTCAATCCCCAGTACAAGAAAAAAAAAAAAAGACCCAGCTAAGAAAATGTTTGTCAACCCCTGGGGTAAATTATAATCTTCTCTAGGAGAATGAGTATCTCTTTTCTACTATTTTTTTGGTACCCGGGATTGAACTTGGGACCTTGCACTTGAGAGGCAAGCGGCAGAACCACTGAGCTAAATCCCCGGACCCTGGCCCTCTTTCTTACTTTTGACTTCACTGCCATGATCAACACAGAGGCTTGATGTTTATAAAATAAAATTAGTGATCTACATGAGAAATATGTAGTTATGTTTTATCCAAGTATTTATTTTAAATAATAAATGAAACACCTCAATCCTTAGCCATACCAGATAATACTATATTCTTTTACCCAATGAAAGGTAAATCTCAGTAATGTTGCTGCTTGAGAAACATACTTTTCATAAATCATGAAGAATAAATTTCCTTTTCAAAATGCCATTGTTAAATACATTTTAAAACAGCAAAATGAGGGCCGGGGATTTAACTCAGTGGCACCACACCTGCCTCCCAAGCTCAAAGTCCTGAGTTTGATCCCCGGTACCAAAAAACCAGTAAAATGAAAAAAAAAACAACCACTTTTTAAAATTTTGTTTTTTAAAGACAAGGTCTCACTATGTATTTCAGGCTGGCCTCTAACTCATTGTATAACCCAGGCTGGCCTCAAACATGAGGTGATCCTCCTGCCTCAGTCTCCCGAGGACTGGGATTATAGGCATGTGCCACCATGTCCAGCTAATATATCGTCTTTATGGTTCCCAAATTACAACATTTCAAAAAACAAGGAACACCCTTTATACTTAGTGGAATTGCTATATGGCTTCCCTTAACCTCCACTTAAAAGTTTCTTTCATAATTTAACACCAAATAATAATAAAAGGTATACTGCAAAGAAAAGAACACTAGACCTAAAAATAGAAGACTTGAGTCTGTCTAGTTTTCCAGTTATTAATCACAACACCACAATCAAGACACTGAATTTCTATATGACTCCATTCCTTTTAGGGTTTTGTTTTTTTTTTGAGAAAGGATCTCGATATGTAGCCCAGGGTGGCCTTGAACTCCTGATCATGATCCTTCTGTTTCAGCCTCCTGAGTGCTGGGATTACAGGTCTACAGCACCATATCTCGCAATTTCTTCATCTTTTGAATGGAGATGATAATGATCACAGAACACAATACAGTGTGGCTATTCTGTAAACTATAACCAATATAAATTCTTTTCTATGACAATCTTTACTTTTAAATGATTCTCACTACACCAAATAACATACAACAAGTTCTTGAGTTCTATTATCTAGTAATTTTGATTAAGATAAATTAAGCACAACCAAACCAAGAATACTTAGTACAGTGTATTCACTGTTTTGATCCTTTGTCAAGGCACTGGCTGCTGTTTCCTACAAGTTACTTTTCCATCGGTAAAGCCCTGGGCATTTAAGAAAGTACAAGGGAAAAAATTTTATTTAACCCTAGGGCCTGGGGATTTAGCTCAGTGGTTCTGCCACCTGCCTCGAAAGTGCAAGGACCTGAGTTTGACCTCCGGTATCCCCCCCCAAAAATTTATTTAACCCTTTTCTTTTTCAAAGAATTGATTTTTTTCCCTACTAGATCTAAGAAAGAAAAATTCAACATTGATATACAGTATATGCTGCTGGAGCTGAAAGGCATAGACCAACGGACAATATATACTCATTATATTTCTAAGAAATATGAAGTAAAATATAAAGCGTTTGGATAAGTACTAAGTTTGTACACAGAACCTAATTATGCCACTCTTCAAAAAGCAAAGGGATCTACTACATAATATACAGAAATAATTTAATGCATTTCATAAGACTAGAACTCAACTTTGCTGAAGCTTCACATTTCATTAGGGTATCTCCAATGCCAATCTATGAACAGGCACTTATTTCTTCTCCTACCCATTTATGCCATAGTTTTCATGGATTTCTGGCCAGAAGTCATGGACAAAGACCAAGAGGACTTTTTCCCTGTCTGCCAGAAGCAGGGCTAGAGCATGGCCACCCTCTCCTTGGTATCTTCCTCCACTTCAGTCCTGCTGCTATCATGGGACCCCAGAGCCACAGCTTCCTTGGCCTTGAAACTCTTTCACCACAGGCAGGCGGTAGGTACTGTTCAACCTCAGCCTGCGCCTCTTTGATCTGCTTCAGTCTCAAGTTCTTTCACTTTGCAGTTGCTTCTCAGACTCCAACAATGGCTGGATGCCCTGAGATGGACCAACCATGGCTATGGCAACTGAGACCAAGGCAAGTAGTCCAAAATGGCACGATGGCCCTTTGAGCCAACTGACCCACAGCCCAGGATCTGCACTTCTATAACCAAGCAAAGTGCTATGAAAATGGGTCAACTGGTATCAAGAAGGTCAAGGCACTAAATTTAACAAAGTAGATTTAGTATCCTTTAAAGCAATCTTACACCAAGGATATCTGGTTATTTTTTGTTTGGTTTGGTTTGGTTGACTGGTTTTTTATTCTTTTGAAACAGGGTCTTGCTATGTAGATCAGGCTGTCCTTGAATTCATTATGTAGTCCAGGTTGGCCTCAAACTTGTAGCAATCCTCCTGCCTCAAATTCCTGAGTACTGGGATTACAGGTGTGTGCTCCACCCAGTCAATCAAGGATATAAAACTGGTAAGAAATGACTTGAGACAAATTTCTAAAATTTAAAATTTTAAGTTTTAGAGTTACCACTTGCCTGTTGAATGGAACATCTTGAAGGATCCGGTCACTGCAAAGTGAAAGGAGGCAATTCTTCTGTAACTAAAGAAAAGGAAGGAGGAAAATCTGAATAAAATATTAGTTCTCTTTTTTTTTTCTTGTGCTGGGAGTTGAACCCAGGGCCTTAGGCAAGTGTTATACTACTACATATACTCCTTGCTTGGTAACACAGCATCAAGGAAGTTTAGCCAGCCTGCTTTGAAGATAGCCTGACTCTAACTTAAGAGTATAAGGAGCTAGTATTCTACATTTTGGCCTTGAAATAAAGACTGATAGTCTTGAATCTTTTTCTTTTTTTAATTAAACTGAAAGTTTCTGGGTGTGCTGATAGGCATCTGTAATCCCAGCACTCAGGAAGCTGAGGCAGGAGGACTGCCACAAGTTTGAGGCCAACCTGGACTACATAGTGAGTTCAAGGCCAGCCTGAACTACACAGGGAGACCTTGTCTCAAAATAAATGAATAAATAAATAAATAAATAAATAAATAAATTTTTAAAAATTTAAAGTGACAGTTTATTACAAAAAAGAAGTATAGCAGGCTACCTCATCAGCAGAGTATGCTAGTTAGAAGCAAACCAGTCCCAGGAAAGAGTAAAATTAGCTGCTCCACTGATACTGTGAAGTGAAAAATAATTTTAGATAAGTACAATCAAAGAAGAGTAAATAAAAATATGCCAGCCAGAAGAAGGACACCCTAGGTTCAATCCCCAGTACCACAAAAAGAAAAGAGAGAATTTATCATCAAAACAGAAGGGTGATCAGGTTACTGTAGTCTTATGAAGCAAAATCATAACCAGGAAGCTTTCTTAATTTTCAGCTGTTCTAAATGCTTTTCCTGTGCTCCCAACATACAGGCTAAATAGCTTTTATCCAAAACACTTGCTCAAAAATAGTTCCGATGTCAGAGTTTTTCAGATTTTGAAACATTTGCATAGACTTTATCAGTTGAGCATCCCTAATCTGAAAAGCCCAAAATCCAAAAGTTTTTTGAGAATCAGGTGTCAAAATTTTCAGTTTTCAAAGCATCTCTGATTTTTGATTTTTGCACAAAGGATGGTCAAGCTATCCTTTTGGGGGTAGGGACAGTACTGGGGATCAAACCCAGGGCTTTGTGCATATGCTTTGCCACTGAGCTACATCCCTTATATACTTACTCCTCAAATTTTAATGTGTATACAATTTTTTTTTCAGTACTGGGAATTGTTGCAGCCAGGGCCTTCACAGTGAGCTACACACTGAGACAGGGTCTTGCTAAATGGCTAAATTGTCCAGGCTGTGCTCAAATTTGCAATCCTACTGCCTCAGTATCCCAGGATGCTGGGATTACAGGTATGTACTCCCAGATCCAACTCAGCCTTAATTTATTAACTTTATGCAGGGCCGGGGATTTAGCTCAGTGGTTTTGCCGCCTGCTGCGCAAGCGCAAGGACCCGAGTTCGATCCCCGGTACCAAAAAAAAAAAAAGAAACATTAACTTTATGTGGAGGTAAGAAACTGGTAAAAGGAAAACCTAGAAAGACTCCTTTTTTTGAGAGAGAGACTGACTGACTAGTTCAGGCTGGCCTCATACTCATAACAATCATCTGGCCTCAGTCTCCCAAGTGTGGGGACTGCAGGTGTGCGCCATCATGCCAGGCTTCTAGAAGGACTATTTGCATAAGTATTCACATGTGCTTACCTGCTGATGATTGGGAAAATGTTCCATAGCTTTGAGCAGCAAATGGGTCACATCAGCCAGCAGTCGGACAGGCATTCCTGCAGCAAGATCCTGCTTGGTTAGGTTAAATACACAGGCACTTGCAGCCAGTTGCACTGGTAAATTCATAGGGTGATTTCTCATCCCAGTAACCACAAGCTGGAAAAAAAAAATTTGTCTTAACTCACCTCATAAATATAAGCCATTTTCATACAGCAACATTACTCTGTTGATATATAATAATTTTAAAGATGTCTTAAGTAACTCTTCCATCCTCGTGTACAAGAAGCCTAGCACATAGGCAGTTACTCATAGTTTCTGCCTACCTGGTCAAAGCAGGTATCTGGTTGTTCATATCTAGACATTTTCCTGGAAAGCAAAATCAATGAATGGATCTTTTCTATGCAGGTGCTCATTTTTATATTCCTAAGACCGAGTGCCTTTATGTGGAAAGCAGTGAATAATAATTGTTCACTGACTTGAATAGGGTAAACTAGTGGCAAATTTCACTTTCAATTCCCAACCTTCCTTTCCTTGAGAACACTGCTGAAGTTAGTGTGACAAAATTCATTCACCTCACCATGGCCTCCCCTTTGTTTCTTCCTCAACCACCCAAAATCCTTACCATTTCTCACTATCAGCTGAAGACCTCATTTTCAACAACACTAAGAAAATGAAAACAACCAAGAAAGCACTTTAAATTCTCACACCACATGTATCCCCACACACACCCACCACTAGCAGCACACAGATGAATATATGCCACTCCCTTGGAACCTTACCATAAATGAGATTTTTTTTTTTTTGGCTCCTATCTACAGTTGCCCTCCTTTTACAGTGCTGAGATTGAACTCAGGACCCTGGGCTTGCTAGGCAAATGCAAACCTCCAGGACCAATCCGTCCTTTTATATGCTTGATCATTCCCTTCCTGTCTATTCCATGGCATCAGCAGATTTCTCCCTTAACTCCTACAGCAATTTTTTATTCTGTACTGGGTCATTCATATCAGCATACAAAGAAGCAGTTTTCCCCCCAGCTTAAAAAACAAAAACAAAACCCTCTTTTAATCCCACTTGCTTAGTCAATCACCTTTTTTCTTTGCTTTCCCTTACAGCAAAACTCCTATATTCTTTAATTTCTTTTTTTTTTTTTTGGTACGGGGATTGAACTCAGGACCTTGCACTTGCGAGGCAGGCAACGGAACCACTGAGGTAAATCCCCGGCCCTATATTCTTTAATTTCTGAATCACTCTCTGAATGGACAGATATTTCAGATCAGGACTACAGATCTAGTCCTTTGTTGTTCCAGTTCACAGAACCCCCCCACCCCCCAAAAATAAAACCAATCCGTTTAACGAATGCCAATATCTTCATATAGAGAGGGAGGGATGCCGGAGACTCCTGCAGTTAAGTCTCTAGTACTCACCTGCCCAATATATGATGCAGGCCTGAGGAAAAAAATACACTAAGACAGAACTAGAAGAGAAAGTGGGGTGCCAGGACAACTGATGCCAGTGCTGGACAGTCCCAGGCACTGACTTTTATTGACAATCAATTGGGGTAAAGGTGATGTGTGGTTTCTATGGAAATTAATGTAAATAAGGTTCAGAAAGGACAAGACAAAGCATTCTCAAATAGACAAAATATATGATTGTAATTAGGACACTGTCCTTCTAGTCAGAAGGTTTAGTTGTGGGAACGGAATTTGGGCTCAAGTTACTCTGACCCTGGCATGTGGGTTTCAGCCAGACTCACTTCTAAAACAAGCCAATTGTGGGGTTAACTCTTTATAGCCTGCTTTCGGCATAATCAATATTATGGTCCTCTGTAGAGGGACAGGTACTGGGGATAACACTAAGGGATGAAATGTTACTGGTTCCTATCCAAGCACCCCATTCTCAAAATGTAAAATATTTAGGAAGTCAAATCAGTTGTGGCTCTGCCACTGACTTATTCTTACCTAACCACACAGACTCTCAGCTTCACAATCTGTGTAACAGAAGATAAAATCTATCTCTTCAGAATGTTGTGCCCACTAAATAAAGTATTAAATATAATACAGTCCCATACACACTGGTTCTCAAAATTCAATGTGCATAAGATCTTAGGAGTTATTCAAATGCAGATTCCTGTGCCCCAGTGGGGCTCACAATTTTTTGGGGGGGGGCACCGTACTGGGGGTTGAACGCAGGGTTGCATACTTGACTACATCCCTAGTCCTTTTTATTCATTTATTTTGAGACAGGGTCTCACTAAGTTATCCAGGCTGTAGTAAACTTGTGATTCTCCTGTGTTATGGTTTCTATCTAAAATGTCCCCCAAAACCTCATGGACTCGTAGCTGGGGCTTTTGGGAGGTGACTGGATCACAGTGTGTGGTACTCACCACTGGATTAGTCTACTGATGGGTTTGTAGCTGGGTATGATATTGGGAGGCAAAGCCTGGTGAGTCTATCTCTTCCCCACTCCTCCCTTGATCTCTCTCCTTCTTGCATGCTCTGCCATGAACTGTTTCTCCTCGGCTATGCCTCTCTGCCAGACCACTCTCCCTTGAAGCTACCTGACTATGGACTGAAACTTCTACGAACTGTGAGCCAAAATAAGCCTCACCTCCTTTAACTTGTGGATGTTGGGTATTTTGTCCCAGCAATGAGAAAGTAAGACATCCTGCCTCAGCTTTTTGAGTAGCTGGGATTACAGTGGCACAAATATGCCTTTAAAATAAGCAATTTATCAGACTTCTAGTGGTTTATCACTAGATTGTTGTTTATCAAACTAGTTGTTTATCAAAATGATAAACACTGCCCTAAGCAATCAACAAAATTAAGAATCCTGGGCCAACGGATGGGGATTTAGCTCAGTGGTTCTGCCACCTGCCTCACAAGCAAAAGGTCCTGGGTTCCATCCCCAGCACCAAAAAATTTCTGCCTAATAAACCTCTTTAGTGGGCTGGGGATTTAGCTCAGTGGCAACATGTCTGCCTCACAGTGCAAGGTCCTGAGTTTGAGCCCCAGTACAAAAAAAAAAAATTAAGAATCGCCTTTATTGTCCTTCAAAAAACTATTTTGGTTAAATGGGAAATAACATGGATCAGTTACAAATGCATAGAAATTTCATAAATGGCATGGAATTCTAATACTGTATTTCTAAAAAGATTGTAAGTGGAAAGCAATATAGAATTAACATACACTGCAATATATAGATTCCAGTTATACTCATATTTTCTACTCTAGCTGGTGATAAAATATCATGATCACTGATTTTAGGTAATTAAGTATGTACTGGAAAGCATTCATATTGTTTAATGAGATTACTTTGAAACCTCAAAAACACTATGCACCTGTCTTGTCATTTAAGCTAATAACTGAAATCACAGATTGTCACTCACATTATAAATAAAAATCAAAGACTAAATGCAAATGTTCTTATACAATTATCAAAATTTTAATAACCAGTTTCTTATTCTTACCTTTAAAATTTCTGGCTTTGTTTTTTCCATCACATGAGTCAGGCTAAAAAGGTGAAACAGAGCTTCTCGGACAAAAAATGCCCGCTCACTGTACCGCTTCAATGCTTCTGCAATCTGAATTTCATTGGCTTCTCCAGATACCTTTGAACACAGCCAAAAAATTAACTTCCAGAATTCTTTTCAACCTTCTAACTTTATCTAAATATCAACTATAAAGATGGCATCCAGGATCGTTATATAAAATAAATGGTAGTATTACTTTGAACACAATCAGAATAGTCATCCCTAGGATGTTTGACAGGCTCAGGACTGAGCATAAGGCTATAGGTAAAATTTTCTATACTAAACTTAAATAAATCTCAATATATTTAACACTATTTATTAGGCCTTCCCACGTCATCAGGCTCTTGTCTTGCCTCCCCACCTCATGCCCTTTTTTGACACAGTCTTGCTAAATTGCCCAAGCTGGCCTTGTACTTGCAGTTTTCCCATCTCAGGCCACAAAACAGCTGGGATTACAGACACAAGCCACCACACCCAGTTTCCTACCTGCCTTTTAAATTTTATTTTTATTTTATTTATTTATTTATTTATTTATTTATTTAGCAGTACTAGGGACTAAACCCAGGGCCTTGGCACTGAGCTACATTCCCAGCCCTTTTAGCTTTTTATTTTGAGACAAGTCTTCCTACCTGTCTTTTAAGGTAATCCCTTTCCCCTAGCTCACAGTGTTACAGCTATGGTGGTCTTTTTTTCCCCCAGATCTTTCTCAGCAAAAGGCCATTACATATGATATCTACTCTAACTGAAACCTTCCATTCTCTATTTATTAAATGACTAATTTTTACTTACCTTTCCTAACTCAAATTAAACATTTCTTTACCAAGGCCTTCCCTGACCCACTGCTCTAAATTGGGTCCCTTAAACCATCTCTTTCATGGCTGTTGTCGTAACAACCCATTCACCAATGGACTAACGCATTCACCATTCATTTTACCCCAACAGCTAAGATTGTGTTTAGTTCAGAAAAAGCACTAAATACTCACCAAATAAATTTATTAATTTCCCCAGATTTATCAAACTCCCTAACAGGTTCTGTTCAAAATTAAATCTAATGAGTTTTCCATTTAGACAAATTAATATCATTATTAATATCATTATAAACTGGTTCAGACACCACTGGATAACCAAATATAAACAATGGAAAGTGGCTCCTTAATCCAACTAGTAAGTCAAAATGAAATAATTAAAATATCACCATAATCCCTAATAACATAAATAGATTTAGGTACTGAGCACCAATAACTGCTAACACCACAGAAAAAGAAACATTAGGTACTCTCCCAGTGAAAGAGCACAACACTTAAGGACCCTCAAAGGGATTAAACACTAGCCTCATTAAACCTCCAAATCCAGTTAGCAATTTGCAGGAAACACAGAGAAATATGTACCACAAGTATACACAAGCAATAAGGAAAATGCTACATGTCCAAAGGACTGAATT